AAATAATTATTAATTTTTTTGTTTTTGTTTTTTGTTTAATTGTAGGTACCATTAATAGGTCATTTACTCCAACTCACAGTGCAAGTTCTATGCATAGACCAAATTCCTCAGTATGAAGTGGAACGCATGTTTTTAATGCCTCAAGCATCCAGATCACTGGCAGTCCTTATGACGTCCCTTCTAAGGTACCTGCACATTTCATCTATGACTGTAAGTGTAAATACTAGGCTGTGCTAAAATAATTCAATGACTGTGCCTCTTACCCTGTGTTTTAGTACTCCTGTTCAACGACCTAAGCTTCAACACCTTCCCCCTATGCCATACTCAATCTGGAGTCGAAAGCTTTCACAAAGAGTGGCAGTTTGGTACAAAATGTTTCAAACTAGAAACCATGATTGGTTAAAGGTATATTTCACTGCATGCTTTTTAATGATAAATCTTCCATCTATCATTTAAATTAATCCAATATATAATTTAATCTTAAATTTTATTATTTTTAATAAATAGGTTTTTGAGCTTTGTGGAATAGAAAAAGAGTTTTGGAATATATTGGGGGATTGGAATCAATTAGAAGACTATGAGTTTCATGAGCTCAGCTTTCACCAAAGGGTTTGGCTAGTAAAATCTCTCTGTGATTACCAAGTTGTAAGTTGCAAGCTTTGGTATAATATGCCTATATAGTATCTGAAATGAAAGTTCTCTTTGCTCTTAACATTTATGTTTCGTTTTTAGCACAACCATAAAACAATGCAAGATGCTCTAGCAGATCACTCTCTACAAGAGCAAAACTGTGAGATTCTTGGTGTAGATCGTCACGGAAGACAATACCTTCACTTTCCGCAGTTTTGCTGGTCACCTGGTCTATGCTCTTGTGTTCGTGTGTACCGTTGTGTTATTCCTGTTGAAAAACCCCGGTCACCTGATCCTACTGAAGAGGCTCCCAACATCCTTATAAGAAAAGGAAAAGGCGATTTTCTTCCCTTGTGGTTTAGAGATCGAGGAAGGGGCAGAGGGAAAAGTGACAAAGGATCTGTAAGAAGCCCATTTTTGTCACTGTTTTGGCCTCTGAGTTTTCTTTTCTTGTTAGTTTTAACAAAGTATTTATTTATTTTTATTGCAGGCGGCTAAAAGGAGGAAAAGTGGAGCTGAAATAAACAATAGAAAATTCTTGTCTAGACTTGTTTATCGAATGCCTAATGGAATGTACATAAGAGGCGGGAAAAGACGTGGAAGTAATAGGCTTTCTGATGGTGTGTCATGTAGCCCTCGAAAGCAAGGCAATACTGACCAAACTGCTTCTTTAAACCCAGTTGAAGTATCATCATCATTAGGTGGAAACGCAAGTGATGCGGAAGGTAAAACAATGACCACTGAAGAAGTCATAGATGAATCTAGTAGGAGTTCAAGAAGGCAAACTCGTTCAAAGCGCAATGTGTCTCAGGTATGGAAGAAGATTCATAGTTGATTAAAATATTGCTGCAGCTACTGGAATAGCTAGCCAGAATGTTCAAAATACAAATCATTGTATCTTTGTGTTTTTTTCTTTTCAGGGATTTTATGCAGACTGGAGTGATAGCGACAGTTTGTCCACTGCCTCTCCTCATAGTACACCTGCCAAGAAACCATGCCGCAAAAGCCAATCACTTTCAAAGAAAGTTAATGTATCAGAAAGCAGTGGTATAAAACTGGTAAGAATTTTTGTTTTACTCACCAGATTGTAATAATTGTAACTATGTTATGTCATTTAGTTAATTCTTTTTATCAAAAAATTTCTAGAAAATAAAGTTGTCTGGGAAGACAGGGCAAGATACACCTTCAAAAGAGAGTGATTTGTCTGAGAATGATAAAAGTGAGGATGAAGAAGTTTCTAAATGTGCAGGTGATTCCTGCCATGAATCTGTTGCTGAAGAGGAGGCAAGCCGGTCAGTAATTTCCTCTCACTATGTCATTGACTAAATCTATTAGTTTGTGTGGTCTTAAATATTTGCTATAAAGTCCTTAAATATGATTTTTAAAAAAAATCTGCAGGAGTGAGTGGGCAACTTTAGCACTGAATAGAAAAAGTGGAGACTGTGGGGAAGACTCAGATGAAGGAGACGAAGAAGAAGAGAAGGATGGGAGCAGCCAGACAAGAAAGGACGATACTGATTTCAACCTAGCTGATGAGTTTCCATGGACACCCCCAGAGGGAGAACACATTAGTAATTGCTCACTATTAAAAGTTATATAATTTCTTATTTCTTTACTTCTTACACTAATGTCTACTTTTAAATTTTGCAGCCAACGGGAAACAAAAAAGACCTCATTTCAATCCAGAATGGTTACTGATGGGAGCAGAGCACTTTGAACTTGTTGCTGATTCTATTCAGGGTATTAGAGATCTCATTGATGGTTTATGTGAAGATGATGATGATGTTGGTCTCATTCAGCGACTAAAAAACTCGGTATTGCTCTACATATTTTCTCATCCACTTTTTCAGCAAATACATATTTTTCGGTACAGTGTGTTTCCTCTTTCTTTCTAGTCTGGCTCCACCAAACCAATTTGTGAGGAAAAGTTAGAACATAGACTGCAAGAATTGGTTAACGAGACCAGTTACTTTGAATTGAAAATGGAATCCAATGCTCGTAAAGTAAGATGGAAGTTGTTTGAAGAGTGGGAAGCATTTAGAAATAGGTATATATATACACCCTCACTGTGACTACTTACCATTATTTTTTGCAACAAACCTAAATACCATGAACTTGATTTTATTTTTATAGACCCATGGATGTCAAAGATGAAGCAGAACAGCATTGGCTTAATATTTTTGAGTGTGGTCTTGAAGTGCAAGGCAATACCCCTGAAGTGAAGGTAAAGGTAGAGATGGAAATTAAAGAAGAAAAGACCACTGACAGTTTGGATGGTTCTAAAGAGATAAAAACTGAAAAATGTGAGGATGCTGAACCTCCATCAGAGCTTGGAGATGATGGATCAGAAAGTGGTAGGCATCCTGCTTTTGTTTAAGTAGTTGAATGTTTATTTCAATTTGTAAAACTGTTTTTTTAATAATAAGTTAAGTCCATGGTAGTGTTTTCGATCGGGCGAGCGAGGAGCGAGCGCCTCGCCCGGCATCTTCTGTATGTCTCCCTCTCGTCTGTGTCAGGTGAGAGGAAGAGAGGCAGACGATTCCGGCCCGCCCCATCAAAAACATTAGCCCCCAGGCATAAACCCTTTTAGGACACTACAATTGTTAGACAAATATTGGAGATGTTTGCAATCAAATAATTAATTTGACAATAGCAGGGATATGGTTGGCTTACATGACAAGACTAGAATACTTGTTCAAAATATCACAGACATTGAAGGACTTTTAAATTGTACGAATTGGTTTAAGAAATACGTAGCTCCAGCATTGTCTTTGAAATCCAATCTATAGGATGGGATTTTACTAACTCTTCGGGGATAGAGTTTTGGTTGTATGTATTACTGAGGTATTCCATAGTGGGTTGGGTGGTAAATTTTTTTGGAAATGTGACTGAAAGCCATGTTTTTGATGATAGCAAAAAATGTATTCTTTAAAATCTTCTTCCCTTTTGTAGGCTATGATATTCGCCATTCCCTACGAGCTAAGAAGCCTAAAATTGATAATCCACAACTAAAGTGTTGGCTTAACAGCGATTCTGAAGAAGAAGAAAGTGACGAAGATGATGAAGATGCATGGGAAATGCCAAGTCGTCGCAAGAAAAAGAAACCTGTTGTTGGTATGTTGCTGGATACTTGAAGATTCTCATAACATTTTCATGTGTTAAATGACCCATATTGACCACAAACATTTTTTATTTTCAGGACGATCACGAAAGAGTAAAAAAGATGAGGACGAAATGGATGAAACTGGTAGTAACTCCAAGGTAGTTGGTGATAAAATATTTGATGTAGCAAAAAACTTTTCCTTTGAGGCAGAAAAGGATAACAAAGAATCTAGTCAAAGTACTGATACCTCAATGCAAAATTTATCAACTGTGACAAAACCAAAAATGAACCAGAAGTTATTGCCAAATAAACTTACACTTGATAAAGAAGGCAATATGTTTATAACATTAGGCTGTGGCACCAGAGTTCAACTGAAAAAGGATGATCAAGGCAGGATAATTGTTCCAGAAGGTCATGAGGGACTGTCAATGATTCATGGAAAAACACTGGACCAGCTCGTTGGGTCTGGTAAAGTGGTTCAAAACAAAAAGAAGAAAAAGGTCAACCGACCAGCTAACAGAAACTCTACCACATTATTTCCTTCTGAATCACAACCTGCAAAACGCTCTACTACATTGTTTCCAGCTATATCTCAACCTGGTGGAATTGTTCAAGCAAAAGAGTGGACACCTCCAGTTGTAAGCAATAACATGCAAATCCAGGGTACATCGAAACCCAAGGTTGAGACAAGTATTCAGGCTAAGGAATGGATGCCTCCTGTGGCAAAAGTAGTAGCTCTTACCCCTGCATCCATGGCTCAGTTAAAGACCTACGGCAACAGGAAAAAAAATCAAACTCCTCTGACTGTAACAAGAGTAGTATCTCAACCTCAAACCAAGAAAAAAAGTGAACCTGATGAAGTGGTTGTTTTGAGTGATGGTAGTGATGACAGCATTGAAGTCATCAAAGAAACGGAGCCTAAAAACAAAAAACAGAATGGTGTGCCGCGTATAGAGTCAGTGATTGGCAATGCAAGTGTGGACAGCTTTGCTCCTAAACCATTGACAAAGTCGGTCACCATGACTCCTGTAGCTGTTACTTTGACCCCTGTGTTCAAATCTAAAAACCAATCGCCGAGTAAAGGTGGTAAAAAACCTAACCAGTGGAACCCTGTGATATCAAATACTGTCAGTCTAGAGCCAGCTTCATCATCAACTAGAGTGCCACCTCCTGGTGCTCCCCAAGTCGTCATTACTCCCGCAAAAAATGTTCAAAACAGGAGGGTCCTTCAATCAACTGGTGTCTTCCATCAGCCAACACCAAATCAATCTTTTGTACCTGTCAATACCATTCCTATGCGCCAGGCGCAACAACAATTTGTTCCAATGAACCAGATGATGCCTGTCACAAATCAATTTCAACCAGTTGCTCAGGTTGTCGGTATGAATAATCAATACATTGTTGCAAATACTGCTCCCTTTGCTCCTATAGGTAATTCTTATTTAGTTAATGCTGCCCCTTCATACCAGTATGTTCCAATGGCTCAGGCACCTGGTCCTATACCTTTACCAGTGAGTGCATTTGACCTTGGTTTACCCCCTGGCCTCAGAGGGCAAATAGTTTTGGCCAATGGAGACAACAACCAATTCTCGTATGCTCTCAAACTTGATGATGGTGGTTTGATATTTCTTTCTAATGATCAAGTTAGTAAGATTAGAGCTGCTAATGGAGGCAAGCTGACAACAATGATCCAAATGCAAACACATTAGCATAGTTATTGATTTTAACTAATGTTATTGGTACAATGTATGTATCTATCTAACATGTATTGAAACTTTTAAGAGTTCCGTGTGAGTTCTCTGTAATCTGTGATTTTTCATTTAAGGATTGAATTTTAATATAATCTGAAATCAGTCAAAACCCTCTTTTATGTATGCAAGTTTTGGAGGCATGAAGCCTAGATTTTGTGTATTTTCATCTGCTCTGCCTGATTTATGGCATCATTAAAGAGGAATTTGCTGTGGGTGTTGGAAATTTGCAGCGAAGATCTATTTTCCTTTTTTATTAAGAATGTTATACCTGTTATTGGAATACAATATGGATTTTATTGTTTATATTAGGCTTTAAAACAGCTTTTTAGTCATAAAATTTGTCCTGTTAAAATAGTTGGAGAGTTTGAGAATAGGCTGTATTTTAATTATTGTACTTTCTCAACAGCATTTCTCTGAACCACATGTGACCTTGTAATGACTCATTCATCAACTTACAAAATGAGTAAGTTTCATAAATGCTGTGCCATTTTAACTTAACAGATCTGATCCTAGATTATAACCGTCGGAAATCTTTGAGTTTTTAAAATAAAAATAAAATGCATTTGTTTATTGCCAATGTTAAATAGTTTTGTTTTCTTTTTACTGCTTTAGTATTTATCAAAAACAGATCATGTTCAGTTAGTTTTCTTCGGAACCTTGCAAGAAAAGCAAAGAGAGGATACTGGAGTCTGGTATCACAGATTTTTTTAATATTATTATTCACGACAAGACTTTTGTATCTGCAGGGAACAAATTAATTACAAACTGAAGACTAGAGCCCCGCAACTAGCGAGCTATGCGAGCTAGACCCCTTCTTTGGCGGGTGAGAGGAGGGTCAGGGTAGGCATTTAGCTCGAGTAGCTCGCTCGTTGTGGGGCTCTACTGAGGACAATATAAAAATTACACTATGTACCAACAAATTTGGTATGACTCCCTCTTGCTAACAACTCATTAGTTTTCTTGTTTTTTATATCAACATGTAAGTAAGCTAAAGTCTTTCCAGCTTTGAGTGTTGATGCTTCTATTAATACATCTTCACCAACTTTTGCCCCTTTCAAGTATCTGTATAGATAAAAAATGAATAGTTTTTTTCGTTATTACCATCCTCTTGAATAGCAGATGCAAAACCAATTCATGTCAAATACTCACGAAACATGCAGATCAACCGTGACTCCGGGTGTTTTGCTTTTCTCATGGGTCATCATAGCCAATGTAGATATGATGTCCACCATAGTTGCCGTCATGCCCCCATGAAGGGTTCCTCCAATGTTTTGGTGCTCTTCTTCCACTCTCAATTCAGCAACACATTTTCCTTCACCCCCTGATATTATTTTGACCTAAAGCAAACAATGAATTAATTCCAGCTTTCCGTATTGATGAATAATAATTCTTATGCATTGATGGTGTTGTTCTTTATTAACTCTAGACAGGAGAACAACGACAGTACATCATAAATTAAAGGAAAAGACCGAATTTCAGGTGCTAAGTTATGTTGACGTATACCTTGCTCAACACTCTATCAAAACCTTGAGAGCTCAACCGCTTTGCCAGCATCTCTACAAGTTGTCGACCGGCTGCCATAGCACCACCACCTGACACGAACCGCAGATGGGAGACTAATGCTCAAATAGAAGATATCGTATTCAGATGACAGCGTAAAGCTTAGTATCTACACATTTGCTGCTCCTGCAGCTGATGTTTTATTTGTAGATGTATGTGAGGGTTAAGGTCCCCAGCAGAAGGTACTATAATAATAATCTGCAGAGGATGATTGAGAGGGCGGTGGTGATACTCCCGCCCTTCCTTTGAATTTCATCGGGTGATTAACAGGGACAGAGCAGAGGAGTGAGTTCTGCTTAAGGTTATTTTATTTTACGGATTTAAGTACACAGTATATGTAACATAAAAGATTACTCTGAGATTGTCTAGAACTAGGCATTATGCTCATTATCATTATTGGAATTTGAATTTTGTTTAGCCATTTCATACAACTGATTTCTTTTACGCCATAACTCAGTCTGCAATAATCTTCGTCTCTCTTCTGAAGCTTTCCTTTCTTGCACTATCTCAAGAGAATCAGGAGTAACCAATCCCTCTGTTATTTGATAGTAAACTACTGTGGAATCGGCATCTTTAAAGGCCAAAATCAGTCTAAGAAGAAATACATACATTAAATAAGATAAGTACAATAGGTGACAATTAAGGATCAATTGCTAGGAGAGAAGAACTGCATACCCTCGATTCTTTGTGGAAAGACTGTTTTGAACTTTTTCAAGCCAAGCAGGTGATACAGTATATGATGCTGGCAAAGGTAAATAAATGTTTGTCTCGACATCACTTTCATTTTCTCTTCCAATTAAATAGATTATGTCTAGTGCCTTGCAGAACTGATATTGAAGATCCCATACCGCCTTTACTGTAAGGTAATAGATATTTTATTTAAATAATTAATGGAAAAGTCTCCAGGACAACATATACTTTTACCATACCTACCTTCCGACAAGTCCATGAACACAGCAAATGCAGCTGGTGGTATGCGTTGATCACCACATCCAAAGGAAAGCAGATCTTCTAACTATGACACAATAAACATAGGATCACTAAGCATCGCAGAGAAAAAAATGTCATACTGTCTATATGTTGAGATAAGAGTAAACTTCTTACCACAGGATGAATGTACCTATTCATCTTGAATGGAATTAACTGTTACACCTAACCTAGAACATTGTCTGTATTGTAGTAATATGGTAATATATATGGTAAAGGATTTGGCTGGGATCGGAAGAAACAACTGGCAACGTATTTTAATGTCTGGATCGGTTTAAATTGTTTGTTTTGATAGTGACATACCGGTACCCAGATAACCAAAACGGGTTTAAAAAATTTTCATACAATACCTCGTTTTTATTAATGTTATTTCTCATTTCTTCTTAAATGGGCTGGAAATCGGAAATAAGGTCACTTTTCTTTTACTTTTATTATTCAAAATATAATTGAGTTATATTAGAAAGAACACAGTTATTGTTATTAATGTAAAAATCGTATGTGCTGACTGATTCGGTGCTACGGTATACCGTCATACACCAATGAATTTATCTGCGGTAAAACATGGTTAAAAGGGTAAATGCTGGAATTTGTCTTTTGATGCCATTTGGTGTTGTGATCTATATGTGCCAGTCTCTGTACTTGTATATTTCAACAACAATTTCAGGATTACAATACTTCCTGACTGAAAACAATGAAAAAACATGGATATGAAAGCTTTGGTTATTCAATGGAATAACATTAAATTAGAATAACACTATATGTCCAACGCCGCTGAAGATCCTGAATCAAACATAATGGAAAATGTAGATGGTCCTGACTCTCCTCCGCTAATTATTCCCCTCTCGGAACATTTAGATCTAGGCCCTCAAGACGCTCTTTGTTTTGATGTTAAAATAGAGGTAAGTATTCTCGGAACAGTTAATTTTAGAATTAGAATATAATAAGGGGAACTAAATTTCAATTCAAGCTTAATCATGAAACAATTTAGCACTGCTTATCTAGTTTACGCAATCAATTTTCATTCAGGTTCAACCAATCAACCAAAGTGGCTCTCTCCCTCATTCACGGGAAGTAGCAGTGCGCAAGAGCTCAAAAACAATTAAACCCAAGATAGTAAAGAAAAGTACATCATCCAGCAATGCAGAAATTCGACCATATAAATGCAGCAAATGTCCGAAGGTATGGAGCGCAGTTGTTTGCATCATTCTATTTTTACCGTATCGATTAAAAGGCTTTATTGTAATTTCAATTTCTTGTTTTGTTAACAGGCTTTTGTCACTCGGCAGCATTTTGAACGACATACTAATCTTCACTCCATGGAGACCCTTTACCCGTGCCAACAATGTGACAAAGTATGTTTAGATAGGTCATACTTATTACGTCATATCAGAACTCACGCAGCAGAGAGGCCATTTGCTTGCACCATTTGTGATAAGAGGTTTCGCACATTGGCTAATCTAAAGAGGCATACAACTAGCCATGATCAAAGCTTGCGCCAGTTTGCATGTACGGAATGTGGAAAACGTTTTCCAGACAATAGCAGTCTTAAGAAGCATTATCTTGGGCATAGTGGAGTGAAGACTCATATTTGCATCATATGTGCAAAAGGATTTAATTATGTTGGAGACTTGAATATGCATATGAAAAGCCATGAGCTAGTGAAAAATTACCACTGTGCTGACTGTGGAAGAGAATTTTCTCGGCATAGCAACTTGATGAGACACAAGGCAGTTCATGCTGAAAATGGTGTTTTCCAATGTACTGTGTGTAGTGTTAGTTTTCAACATGCTGCCACGTTAACAAGACACATATTGTCAAATCATCCAGGACACATTAAAGTGAAGAAAAGGACATTTCCTCCATCAGATGAAATGAGACAATCTGTTAATGATAAGAGTATTTCTCAATCAGATGACGAATCTTCAAATGACACCTGTACTGAAATTAATTCTAACAGTGTAGGAGACGAACAAGTTGAAAAAAATATTGGAAGCTCATCAGAACACATTGCAGTAGTTCCTTCTAGTTCGTCATCATTTGAAATATATCAAATTGATGGGTCTGGTGGTCTTGTGAGAGTCACTGATGCCCTTTCAATTCAGTCCTTGCAATTAGTAAATAATGAACAATCATCGTCTGAGCTGTATCAAACTTATGCATATAATGGGGCTTAGCTATCATGTATTGATGATTATGATAAATTTTGAGGGGTGAGGGATTGGCAGCCTAGCAATAGCTGTGACACTTTAATTATGTAATTCCCATTGATGTGTAGTAATTTGCATTGACTGCTCTTTTTCTTTTTGTGTGTGTGTATGTGTGTAGCTTTTCTTTGTTTATTTTATACAGTTCAACCCCAATATAGCGTTACCCTTCGGGAAACGAAAATCGCTACGTTATGAGCGGGAAAACGTTAAAAACGGGTATAGATCCCATAGGTTCAATTGACCCTGTAATTGGAATTTGCGACGCTATATCCGGCTAAACGTTATATCTGGGCAACGCTAAATCCGGGTCAAACTGTAATTCCACCCCTAAGACATTTTAAATTTTTACCTTTGGTTTTCACCTGTAAATTGATCTCAAGTTGAATATGTTATTTATTTATTTTTTAATGGATTTCTTAAATGATGAACAGCAATTTACCATACCATGTATAAATTTCTGCTGCTTGTGTTTGGGTTTTTTCATTGATGTGATAAATCACTAAAATAAAATGTAAAAAACTTACTAAAATGTTTGATTAGTACTAAACTCAATGGAGAAGAGACGGCTCCGATTGTCCGAAGCTCGTTTGTCCGAACCTCGTTTGTCCGAACCTAATTTATCTAT